CTGGAGAACATTATGCTGAGTGAAATATCCCAGTCACAAAAGGACAAATATTACATGACGCCACTGTTGTAGAATGGGACTGTCCTTGGGGTTGGGGAGAGACTGAGTAAGATGGGTTCAATAATGTATACTGCACTGAAACAGAGGAGGGAGAAAACTGTTTAAAAGAGATATGTGACTAGGTATTTCTGTCATCATAGGAGACTAGAGCGAGGGCTACATGGTGGAGGGGACCTGGGGGAGGGTTTGTAAAACAATGAAAGAATCTTTTCTTTTACTTTTCCATAATTTCTGGACTCATGTACTTATAACTTGTTAGTCAAATTTGTGTCTTCTAGGTTGCAACACCCCCATGATACATCTTCAAGGATATGAACATGTACGGCCAAGCACAACCAATAAGAGTGCATCTAAATTCCAAAATCAATCTCCATAATAGTCTATGTGTTTCCTACTGCCAAAGGGGCCCTTTAGAGTAGTGAGAGAAGATCTTCACCCTGAAACCCACAGCGTCCCTTTTCAGCAGGAAGTAGCTAAGAGAATACGCCGTCCCCTTTTCCTTATGACTCAGGGAGAAGTCTCTCTCAGGGAGGAGTGATAGGGAATGGCAAAGGACACACTGACAAAGAAGATTAATCAGAACTGGCTTTGACAAGCACTGTGGCATTTGGACAAGAACAAACTGGGAGGAGGGTAGAGAGAACAGTGCAACAATGAATGAATGGAAACCCAAAATCTCTGTAAATGTTTATGAAAATTAATAAAATATAAAAAAAAAGAAAAAAAAAAAAGAAAGAAATCAACTACCAACCCAGGATCCTGAACCCAGCAAGCTCTCCATCAAATATGAAGGGGAAAAAATCACATCCTTTGCAGAAAAGAAAGAACTTAAGGAATTTGTAAAAGTAAAACCAAACCTACAAAAACTTTTAAGGGAAGTCCTTTACACAAAGACACCAAAGGAAAGTGGATGGACCACAGCAAAACATAATAATAACAAAAAAAGAAGCACAGCAAAATGACAATGATAAAACCTGACCTGTCAATAATCATGCTTAATGTGAATGGACTTAATGCACCAAACAAAAGAAAAAGAATAGCAGAATGGATAAAAAAAGCTAAACCCATCAATATGCTGTCTATAAGAGACATATCTAACAAATGAAGAGAAAGATAGGCTCAAAACCAAAGCTGGAGGGGAAAAAAGTCAAATAAACGGCATTCACAAAAAAGTAAGAGTAGCAGTACTAACCTCTGATAAAATAGATTTCAGAATGAAAATAATCATAAAAGATAATGTTAGTGTTTGTTGATTGTCAGTGAGTCCAACACGATACATAGTGACCTATGAACAAAAGGCCTGAAGCCTTCCTATAACTATTGTGATTTATCAAAGTTCACAGATTTTCCAGATGCATGTTGTTTAGGAAGTGGATGTCACTCCTGCTTTCAAAAGATAATTAAGGGCAATATATAGTGATTAAAGGCATGGAAAACCAAGAGGACATAATATTTATTGATAAACATCAATGAACTAAATGATGATGATGTTGTTGTTATGTGCTATTGAGTCGACTGTGACTCTTAGTGACCCTATTTACAAGAGCCTTAAACCCTGCTCTGTCCTGTGCCAACCTTATTGTCTCTGGCACACTTACCCCCATTGACCCAGTGAGTAAATCAATCCATCACATCGAGGGCCTTCCTCTCCTGTGATGTCCCTCCACCCTCCCAAGCATGATGTCCCTCTCTAAGAATTGGTCCCTCCTTGTAACATGTCTTAATTATGTCAGAGGAAGTTTCAGAATCTTTGCCTCCAAAGAGCTGTCTGTTTTCATCTTCTCCAGGATGAACCTGTTTGTTCTCCTAGCAGTCCATGGTATATTCAACACTCTTCTCAAGCACCACAATTCAAAGGCATCAATTATCTTTCTATTATCCCTAGGCATTGTATGAAAGACCTGCTAAATACTTAAAACAACTATTAGCAGAAATGAATAAAGAAATAGCACCACTATAGTGGTAGGAGACTTTAACACACCACTCTTCCCAAAAGATAGGTCAACTCAAAAGAAACTTAACAAAGATGTAGAAGAATTAAACTTCATAGTGAGCCAACTCGACTTTGTGGATGTCTTCCAAGCTCTGCACCCAAATAAAATTCAATTCACTTTCTTCTCAAATGCACATGGTACATTTTCCAGAATTCATCACATATTAGGGCACAAATAAAGCCTCAAAAAATTAAAAAACACTGAAATAATAGAAAGTGTCTTCTCAGACCACAATGCCGTAAAACCAGCAATGATCCCAAGAAGATAAAGCTTACAAAGCCACCAATATGGAAGCTAAATAACACCCTGCTAGAACAAGATTAACTTATAGATGAAAAAAAGAACAAAATAAAAATTTCCTTGAAACAAATGATAATTAAAACAGAACACACCAAAACCTCTGAATGCAGCTAATGCAGTCATCAGGGGGTAGTTCATAGCAATAGCAAACACATTAAAAAAAAAAAAAAAGCAAAATAAATGAGCTAACTCAATGTCTTTATCAAATAGAAAAAGAACAGCAATCTAACCCAACAGCCTCTAGAAGAAAGGAAATGATAAGAGCGGAAATCAGTGAGATAGAAAACAGAAAAAAAAAATTGAAACCATCAGTTAGACCAGGAGCTGTTTTTAAAAAGGATCAATAATTGTGAAGAGTGACAAAGACTTGAAACCTAACAAAAAACAAAAGAAAAACAGGAGGAGGCACAACTCGATAAAGGAATGATAGAGGTGGTATCACAATAGAACTAGAGGAAATTAATTCTATAAAATCAGGATATTATGAAAAGCTATACTTTGACAAATGTGAAAACTTAGAGGAAATGAAAAAAATCCTTGAAAATCATGCCTTACTCAGTATCACATGGTCAGATGCAGAACACTTGAACAGACCCATCATAAAAGAAGAAACTAAGTCATAAAAGACGCACAAAAACGTTCTGGACCAGATGGCTTCACAGTTGAATCCTACTAAACATTCAGAGATTTATCACCAATTCAACTTCAGTTACTTAAAAATATAGAAAAAGAAGGAACACTCATATAGACATTCTACGAAGCAAGCATAACCCTAATACAAAAACCAGGCAAAGATATTACCAAAAATGAAAACTACAGACCAACAATATAGATGTAAAAGTCCTTACAAAATCCTAGCCAGCAGAATCCAAAAGCACACAGTTGTTGTTGTTGTTATGTGCCGTCAAGTCGTTTGCGATTCATAGCGACCCTATGTAGAACAGCCCTAAACCCTGTTCTATCCTGTGCCAATCGCATTACCTCTGACATAGAAGAAAAAAATATTCATCATGACCAAGTGGGATTCATAAGAGGATATGCAAGGATTGTTCAACATAAGAAAAACAATCAATGTAATTCACCACAATAACAAAACAAATAACAAGAACCATATGATCTTAGCAATTGATGCAGAAAAGGCATTTGACAAAATCTAACCTCCCTTCCTGATTAAGATGCCCAGCAAAATTGGAATAGAAAGGAATTTGTTCAAAACAATCAAAAGTATATATGCAAAACCACAAGCAAATATCATTCTCAATGAAAAAAGACTAAAAGTATTTTCCTTGTGAGCAGGGACCAGCCAAGGATGTCCACTGTCACCTTGCTATTCAATACTATATTGGAAGTATTTGCTAGGGCAATACAAGAGAAGAAAATAAAAGGCATCCAGATAGGAAAAGGGATGGTTAAACTGCTGTTCTATGCGGAAGATATAGTACACAAAGAAAATCCCAAGAACTCAACAACAACAACAACAACAAACCAAAAATCAAACAAATAAGCAAAAAACAAGCCTATTGTGAGAGCTAGTAGATCAGTTTAGCAGAGTGGCAGGATACAAGATCAATATCCAAAAATCAGTGTGATTCCTCTGCAGTAACAAAGAAAACTCACAGGAGGAAATCAAGAAGTAATACCATTTACAAGGGCCAACTACAAATTGAGATACTTGGGAGTGAACCTAATTAAAGATATGAAAAACTTATAGAAAGAAAACTACAGAACATTTCTGCAAAACACAATGAAAGACCTAAAGAAATGGAAAAATGTGTCCTGTTCATGCATAGGAAACTCAATTTGTGAAAATGACAATCCTACCAAAAGCAATCTGCATATTCACAATCCCAATACAAATAACAAATTCACTTTTCAAGGAGATTGAAAGGGGAATTGTCACATTTATTTGGAGAGGAAAAAGATCCTAAGGGTAACTTATTGTAAGTAACTTAATATATTAATAATCTATAGCATGAACTCTAGTAGCTTAGTGTTAAGAGATCAGACCCAGCCTGGGGTATGCAGAGGCTCGTGGGTCGGTTCTGTGTCTGAGGGAGCCAAGAAAATTCTTTCCTCTGCACACAAAGTTCTGCATACTAAATTCTCTTGTCCTGTTTGGCACATGAGATGGCCCTGCAGCCACAGAGGCAAGGAGTCCCAGATAGAGGTACCTATAACTTCAGGGATGCCTCAAGTCCTCTCTCTCCACATGCCCCTTCAATCATCTTTTGATGCTTCATGAATCATTTAGGATTTTGTCAAGGTATCTTCAGCATTACAATACAAGGTGTGAATTTGTTTTTTACTTCTCTCAGTTTCAGAAATTCCTAGTAAGTCCTTCCATTTCAGTTTTTCAGTTCTGGTTCTTTGCACATTTCTTGTATTTTGCTTCGTCCTCTCATGTTGCCCTTTGAAACTTTCTGTTCATCTCTTCAGCAATTCTTAACTATGGAATGGTGGTTCCTTCTTTCAATGCTTTCAATGCCATTTCACAATAAATATTTAAGAATTTGATATTTTAGGTTAAAATGCTAAATAACTTTTGGTAGGAAATTTTATTCACAATAGTCTTCATTAGGGCTTTTGGCATTAGAGTAATAAACTTAAGCAAGACAGTCAACAGGAAAATTAACATATTTATCTGACCTGGACAAAGTTCAGAGGGATCAGGCTTGCTTTCACTTTCATCATCAGTACTTTTGTCATAGATTGCATCTCTGCCAGCACCTACTTGAGAAGAGGTTGCAGGTTCCCTGGAAATAGAAAAAAGTAGCATTATAAATCATTAACTTAGGTATCACACATAAAATATTCCTTGAAAAAGGTATTAATTAAACACACACATATTGAAATATATATGAATTAGATAAAGCCACTTTAAAAACAGTATGCCAACTCTACTGAAAAAAGAAGCTTCAGGGGGTTTCCCCCCCCCAATGGTTGCTCAAATGTATCTTTTAATATCTTGTAACCAATATACATATATTATATCAAATATCTTTATCTATATCTATCTACAGAGAGAGAGACAGAGCGAGAGAGAATGAAATCAAGCTGCTGTGGAGCTGATTTCAACTCCTAGGGATATCATATGTTGTTGTTATGTGCCATCAAATTGCTTGCGACTCACAGCAATCCTATGAACAACAGCCCTAAAATGTGCCCTATCCTGTGCCAACCTCACTGTCTCTGCCAAAACTACACTCATCACTCCAGTCACTGAGTCAATCCATCTCATCCAAGGGCTTCTTCTCTTGTGCTGTCCCTCTACCCTTCCATGCATGATGTCCCTGTCCAAGGACCTCCCGGCATCATGTCCAAAGTAGGTCAGATGGAACTTAAAACCCTTTCCTCCAAGAAGCAACCTGGTTTTACTCTCTCCAGGATGAACCTGTTTGTTTTCCTAGCAGTCCACGGTATATTCAATACTATTCTCTAGCACCACAACTCAAAACCATCAATTCTCCCATTCTTAGTCATCGTCCAGTTTTGTGTGTGTGTGTGTTTTAATTTATATTGGCTTGTTCACAAAATTTTATACTTTATAGTGTTTCACACTATTTTTATTCATATTGTGTATTATACCGTCATTCCCATGCATTGTTTTATAAAATCAATCATCATTAGACTTTGACCATCCTTACCTAGTCTTTTCAGATCCCCACTGGATCCTTTCCATTTCCTTCACCTACCAAACTGTGCAACCCTTTGGTTTCACTCCTACCCATCGTCACCCCTCTGCTCCCATGCCTTTCCCTCCTTGGGTACTCAGATAGGTTTTATTAGTTAACCTTCTATGTTTACAATAATAGTCTTATGTAGCATTTATCATTATGAGACTGAGTTAGTTTACTCAGTAAAATACTTTTCAGTCTTTCCCAAATTATGTAATAATTTTCAAAATCATTGCTCCTAAGTGTTACATAGTATTCCACTGTGTGAATGTGCCTCAATTTCTCAATCCATGCAGTTATGTTTGGACATGTGCACTGTTTTCATGTTCTTGTGATGGTGCATAACGCTATTACGAACATTAGTGTACAGATCTCTGTTTCAGTTCTAATTTCCTTGGGGTTTACTCCTAGTAGTGGAATAGGTGGGTCATATAGAGTTTCTATATTAAAATTTTTGAGGAAATACCAAACTGTCTTCAAGAGTGATTGTACCCGTTTACAATCCCTCCAACAGTGTATGAGAGTTCTCACCTCTCCATATCCTCTTCAACATCTGTCTCTTGCTGCTAAACTTTGCCATTGCTACTCGAGTGAGACAGTATCTCATTGTGGTTTCTATTTTCATCTCTTTCATTGTCAGTGATTTGAACATTTTTTCACATGTCTGTTGGCCATCCAAATGTCTTCCTTTGAGAAAAGTTTTAAATGTCTTTATCCCATTTTGTAATTGTGTTTTCAGACTTTTTCTTCTGGAGACCTAGGAGTATTTTGTAAACTTCTGTTATGAGATCCTTGTCTAAAAAGGTATTGCCAAATGTTTTTTCCCCAATTGGTAGGTTTTCTTTTCGCCTCAATGTGTTGTCTCTCCTGAAACTTAATGTCTTCTATCGTCCGTCTCTGGAATAGTGTAAGTTCAGGGCTACCAACTTAAGCAGTTTGTGTGTATGTGTGTGTGTGTGTGTGTGTGTGTGCAGGGATGTTGACTCAAATCAGCCCTCTCTCTCATAGAAAGCTGAGAATGTCTTTCTCCTGTTTGTGGCTCTGTGTCCCAAATTCTCTTATTCTGTTTAACCTTGGGATGGCCCTCCAGCCACAGAGGTAAGAATAATCAAATAGAAGGACCTATTTCCAGATAGTTTTCAGTCTCATCTCCCTTAGGAGCACCCCAACGTGCTCACCCTGGGGGGGGGGGAGTGTCTCACTTGATGCAATTTCTCTCCTGAAATTTAATCTCTTCCTTTGCCTCTGAGGTGTGCATGATCAGGGCCACCAACTTACACAGTTGTGTGTCTTAATAATGTTTTTTAATGCTTATTATAATTAATGCTTGATTTACTATCCTATCACATATTATTCTTCTACTGAAATATTATTCAAAAAATTATTTTTTGTAGATAAAAATATGATTATCATTTTACTGATCTCAACCAGTCCTACATTTCTTTTGATCTTCCCCAAATCCTAAGAAGTAGGAACCTTTATCATTATTATAAAGGTGAAGTGAAGGACAGAGCTTTAAAGAATTTGCCCAAAGCCATATATTAATGGATGCACTGAGATTCAGTGTCAGATTAGCACTTGAAGTAACACTACCCAACATCAAATATAATATTCATAAGCAAGCCATGTTTCCTCTCAGATTAAGGGTAAGAAACCTTAGCCTATAACCAACCATTTTTTCTTGAGAAAACTGTAATTATCCAAAATCATATCAGCTGTAAGTCATTTTCCAATATTCCTTAAGAAGCCAGTGTACACTAGTATACACACATTCTCAGAGAAAATGAAATGGAAGGTTAAGAAAGGTAATCACAGCCCAGTTAGCATTAAGAAAAGAGAAAAAGCCAAAATAAAATCAACATCTCCTTAAATTAAACATTGTTTTTGTTGTTGTTATATGCTGTTGAATTGGCGGCAACTCACAGTGACTCTATGCACAGTAGCTCTGAATCTTGCCCTATCCCGAGCCAATCTCACTGTCTCCAAACACACCTTACAATATCACCTGTAACTATGTCAAACCTTATCATCCCTCTTCTGTGCTGACCCTCCAGCCTTCCAAGCATCATGTCCTTCTCCAAGGACTGGCCCCTCCTGGAAACATGCTCAGAGTATGTAAAATGGAGCTTTGAAATCTTTGCCTCCAAGGAGCAACTTTGTTTCAAAATCTCCAGTAAAGACCTGTTTGTTTTCTTGGTGGTTCATGGTATGTTCAATATTATCCAGCATCACAACTCAAAGGCATCTAATCCTCTGTCACTTATAGTCATTGTTGAGCTCTCTGTGATGCATAGCAAGAAAGGATGGCCTGGATCAGACACACCTTAGTCTCTGGACTGACATTATTTCTCTTTAGCACTCTGGAGAGATTTCTCCAGATTTTCCCAATGAAATTTTTCTTTTGGTTTCTTAACTGCTGGTGCAGAGAGTGCTGATTTATGAAACTGAGCAAAATGAGACTGTTAACAATTTCAATCTCTTCTTCATCCACTGTGGTGATGCCAATTGATATAAGAATGTTTGTCTTCTTGATTTGAGCTTCAATCCATTTTGAAGACCGCAGTCCTTGACCTTCTTCAGCAAACAATCAGGTCCTCTTCAGTTTCGGCCAGTCAGGTTGTGTCATCTGCATAACTCAAGTTGTTGATGAGTCTTCCGCCACTCTTGATGCCACCCACATTCCTCCTCTTATAAGTCTAGCCTCCCAAATTATCTGTACCACATATAGACTGAAAAAAGTATGGAGACAGGACACATCCATGACACACTCCTTTTCTGATTTTGAACCATGCAATGTATCCTTGCTCTGATATGACAACTGCCTCCTGGTCCAAGTATAAGATTCACATAAGCACAATCAAATGTTCTTGAATTCCCATTCTTCTCAGAGTCAGCCACAGTTTGTTGTGATCCACACAGTCAAATGCCTCTGCATAGTCAATGAAACACAAAACAACATTCCTCTGGTACTATTTGCTTTCAGCGAAGATCTGTCTAACATTGGGTCCAATGTCCCTAGTGCCATGGTCTCTTATAAACCAACTTGAACAGTCATTTTTGGCTAATCTTCAGGATGATTCTTCTTGCATGTGATATTAGTGATATTGTTCAATAACTGCCACACTCTGTTGGATAACCTTTTTTGGAATGGGTATAAATATGAACTTTTTCCAGTTAGTTGGGCAAGTAGTTGTCCTTCAGATTTCCTGGGACAACCTACTGAGCACATCTGGGCAGCACCAATTTACTGAAATGTTGTTGTTGTTATGTGCCGTCAAGTCGACTGCAATTCATAGTGACCTTATGTACAACAGACCTAAGCTCTACCCTATCCTGTGCCAATCTCACCAGCTCCGACACATCTGACCCCATTATTACGCCAGTCACTGAATCAATCCATCTCCTGCGCTGTCCCTCCACCTTCCCAAGCATGATATTCCTCTCCAAGGACTGGTGCCTCCTTGCAACATGTCCAAAGTATGTTAGCTGAAGCTTTAGAATCTTTGCCTCCAAGGAGCAGCCTGGCTTCACCTTCTCCAGGACAAACCTGTTCATTTTCCTCACAGTCCATGGTATATTCAAAGACATCAATTCTCCTTCTATCACCCTTAGCCACTTTCCAGCTCTCTGATGCATAACAAGTGATTGCAAAAACCATGGCATGTATCAGGCGCACCTCAGCCTCCAGACTGACATCTTTGCAATTCAACACTTTAGAGAGGTCTCTAACCGCGGACTTTCCCATCGCGATACATCTTTTAATTTCCTGGATGATGGTGCCAAGAGTGTTGACTGTGGATCCAAGCAAACCAAAACTGTGAACAATCTCAATCTCGTCATCATCAATTATGATGTATCAATTGGTATTCCATCAATTTTGGGGCATTATTTTTTGCCAGTTTCTTCAGAGCAGCTTGAGTTTCCTTGTTTATCCCATTGCCTCTTGATCACATGTTGATTTTGTTTTTTTTGTTTTTTTCATAAAATTCTCCTGTGTTACACAATTCTTTTTGGTATAGTGACTCTATATACTCCCTCCACCTTCTTTTGATGCTTCCTGAAACATTCAATATTCTGCCCAAAGCACCCTTAAATATTTGCAGTTGGGACTTGAATTTGTTCTCCAGCTCTTCCAAATTCACTGTATAGTTAACAACTCCGTAAATACAAAATTAACAAACATAAATCTGACTGCACAATCTTGTAGAATTTGCATAAAGTATTAACAAATATACATCTTAACAATTTCTAAAAATTAGTGATATTTAGACAAACCTCATTCCAGTTCTATACTCCAGTGTCAGTTGGTCAGATGGACTGCATTGATGATGCTGAGAATTTTCTAGCTTTCGTTTCCCTACCTTGAAGCTGGTATACAACCCTTGTATAATAAAAGGTCTTGAATTGCAAATAACTTTCATTGCGTTTTGCAGCAGGGGAAACCCATTTAAATTTATCTACTTCTGAATTAAAAATTGAAAGGGAAAATACCTGTCATGTTCAGCATTATTTTCTGACTCTTCAGTATCACGTAATAGTTTCTGTAAGCTTCTGATCTTGGCTTTCTTTTCATTTAGTACCAGAATAAACCGATTATAAAGATCAGTTTCCAAGGCGTCCTTAGCACTCACATATTTTCTGAACCTAAAAAAAACCAACAACATAGATAAGCTAATAAAACATGTTTCATTTCATAATACTATTCAGTCTACTGAAGATGGCTATGGAAAATGTTACAAAGAAAATACAATTAAAAACCATTTTTACACACAATTATATTGACCTAAAGCAAGTAAATGGGACTTATTAGTTGGTAAAGCAAATAAGCTGAGGAGGACCTGAAGCCCTTTCTGCAGAAGGTCAAGGACTGTAGCTTTAAATATGGCTTGAAGCTCAACATCAAGAAAACAAAGATTCTCACTACTGGGTTGAATGGTAGTATCATGATAGATGGTGAAGCGATTGAGCTTGTTAACAGCTTCAGCTTGCTTTGCTCCACAAGCAACAATCTTAGTACCGGCTTCCAGAAAATAAGCAGACGAATTGTATTGGTAAAGTTTGCTGTGAGAGACCTTTCCAAAGTACTGAGGAACAATGATGTCAGTCTGGAGACTAAGGTGCACCAGATTCAGGCCATGGTCTTTGCAATTACTTGCTAGGCATCTGAAGGCTGGACAATGACTACAGATAACAGAAGGAGAATTGATGCCTTCGAGCTGTGGTCCTGGAAAAGAGTACTGAATATACCATAGAATGCTAGGAAATTCATTCTAGAGGGAGTGAGACGAGGCTGCTACTTGCAGGCTAGGATTTTGAAGGTTCATCTTACATACTTTGGACTTGGTGGAAGGAGGAACCAGTCCTTGAAGAGGAACCTTGGAAGAGCCCTTGGGTGGTTAGAGGGACAGTGCAATAGAGGACGACCCTTGTTGAGATGGATTGATTAATGTGTTAGTGAGGGTAGGTGGGTCAGAGACATTTAGATTGGCACAGGATAGAGCTGGGTTTATGGCTGTTGTACATAGGTTTGCTATGCATTCCAAGTGACTCGATGGCATATAACAACAACAACAACAATGCAAATAATTGATGTCCTTATACAAGTAATTATGTGATGAGGGTTTATATCATAATGTAATTATCACAAGGAAGCTTTTAAGAAATAAAAATTGCTAAGTCTAAATAGCATACATCCCTACAATTTCCAAAATCATATTCTTATGAGAAATATTTAAAACAAGGGCAATTATAGCTGACATTTCCTCAGTGCTTTTTTAATCTTGTTATAATAGCACTCACTCTCTTGCTTTGTGATTAAACAATTTATCTATTTTATAGTCCTACTGGAATTTGAACTGCTCTAGCTGGAATTTGAACTGCTCTAGAAGAAGAACATAACTTAGGTAGTTTAGCTTTATGACTTAGCCATACCTGTGTGTAAGCGCGCGCGCGCACACACACACACACACATGCATACAAACATAAAAAAACATGCACAGACACACCATAATACGCATTTTTATAATGAAAGTACCAAAGGTGCCATTTCCAAGTTATTATTTTTTTTAAAAGTGAATCCCTATATAAATTCAGATTTACAAATATAAAGACATTACTTCTAATCTTTCCTACAAGGATCAAAAGTGTTAACATGGGATTTGAATAATTTTCATTTCTCAAGGTAGATAAAAGTAAGCAAAGTAGCAATGATCGCAAATACCTGACACGTGTGCATACATATCATGAATAAATATATTTTAAGAGTTCAAGCATAAATTATTCCATGTAAATGGTCCATTTAAATGTGGGTTTTCCCTTTAAAATACTGTTGTTCATTTATATTTTTATATTCTACATACACATGCTAAAGATACCTTGACAGTATACTGGGTTCAGCTTTGTGCTGCTAATCTAAAGGTCAGCTATTAAGAACCATCAAACACATCACAGAAGACAGATGAGGCACTGTGTTGCTCCAGATTTACAGCCTCAGAAACACATTAAGGCAATTCTACTCTGGAAGCCCTAGAAAATGATGTCCTGAAGAAAGGGTATACTTTTTGGTAAAGAAAACAATCCTTGTTAGTTGAAAATCACAAGAATACAATAAATTCATAATATATAAAAATAATAACATGTATCAAGGTAAATATGCAGAACAGATCATTCAGGAGGCTGGGCTCTATGAGGAGAAATCCGCATTATGCAGATGACACAACCTTGCCTGCTGAAACTGAGGAGGACCTGAAGCGCTTGCTGCAGAGGGTCAAGGATTGCAGTCTTCAATATGGATTGAGGCTCAATGTCAAGAAGACAAAGATTCTCCCCACTGGACCAACTGACAGCATCAGGATGGATGGCGAAGAGATTGAGAGTGTTCACAGCTTTAGTCAGCTTGGTGCCACAAGCAACACTATTGGCACCAGCAGCCAGGAAATTAAAAGACGTATTGCCATGAGAAAGTCTGCTGTTAGTGACCTCTCGAAAGTACTGAAGAGCAATGGTGTCTCTCTAGAGACCAAGGTGCATGTGATACAGGCCATGGTCTTTGTAATCACTTGTTATGCACCAGAGAGTTGGACAATGGCCAAAGAGGATACAAGTAGAATTGATGCCTTTAAGCTTTGCTGTTGGAGAAGAGTATTGAGGGTACCATGGACCACTAGGAAAACAAACAGATTCATCCTGGAGAGGGTTAAACCAGGTGGCTCCTTGGAGGCAAGGATTCTGAGGCTTTGTCTGACATACTTTGGTCATGTTGTATGGAGAGACCAGTCCTTGGAGAAGGACATCATGGTTGGGAGGGTGGAGGGCAGGCATGAGAGGAGAAGGCCCTCTAGGAGGTGGATTGATTCGGTGACTGGGGTAATTGGGATGGGTTTGTCGGAGACAGTGAGACTGGCACAGGACAGAATTGAGTTTAGGGCTGTTGTACACAGGATCACTATGAGTCACAAGCGACTCGACGGCATGTAACAACAACAACAACACAATGAGAGGAAGAACCATTAATAATTTGAGATATGCAAATGCAGAACTATGCTAGCTGAATCCTAAGATTTGAAGAACATACTGATTGAGATCAAAGATTATAGCTTTTAGTATGAATTACACTTTAACATAAAGAAAAAATATTCATCAAATTTAGACCAGTAAAAATCACATGATAAACAGAATACAGATTGAAGATGTCAAAGCATTTGCATTTACTGGGATGCAAAATCAAAGCCCATGGAAACAGGAATGAGGATGTGGGGGAGGGCAGGGGCTGGATTAATCATAGGGTTGTACAATTTGATGGGAGGGGTGAGGGTAATTGGAAGAATCTGGTCTGAAAAACAATGTATACCAATTCTGTAAATAAACTAGTATAATAAAATTTTTTAAAAAGAAGTCATTGAGAATTCATTTTTTAAATTAATTTTAAGGAAAGTTAAAGCCTGGAAGCAGGAGTGGCATCCACTTCTGAAATGGCTTGCCTCTGGAAACTCTATGTATGAACAGTGCTCACGCTTTTCATCCATAGGGTCGCTATGAGTCATCTACGACTCGATGGCACCTAACAACAACATCAACGACAACAACAATGAAAGTTTACAGAGACTTTGGATTTCCATCCATTCATTCATTCATTGTTGCACTTTCCTCCCTGCCTACCCCCTCCCCACAGTTCACTCTTCTCTTTGAAAATTAAAAGAAAAATTCTTTCATTGTTATACAATCTTTCCCCCCAAATCCACTCCATTATGCAGTCTTCGTTCTGGACTCCTCTCATGACAATAATACCCAATCATATATCCCTTTTAATCAGCTCTTTCCCTCATCTGTTTCAATGCAATATGCACAATTAATCCCACCTTTCTCAGTTGCCCCCCAACCCCAATGTCAATCCCATTTTACAACAGTGGGTCTATACAATATTTGTCCTTTTGTTACTAAGATATTTCACTCAGCATAATGTCCTCCATCGTCATTCATTTTGTATAATATTTTATGAGTTCCTAACAAGCTTCCAATGAAATTAATAAACACAGCAACTGCAACAGTAGGTTTATGTAAGCAGAGATTGTGAGCATGGTGTAGGATTGGACATGATTGTGTTTTCTTAGGGTATCTATGCTTCAGGGCCAACTTGACGACACCTAAAAACATAACAGCAAACACAGGGATCAGTGTAAGTATGCTTTTTTATTTTTTTTGGAATACACACACAGACATACTTGAGTGTGTCAGTGACTGTGAGTTCGGCATATAATAGGAGAGGGTTCACATTTGTTGTTTGTTGTTCATAGGGTCACTAAGACTTTACCATACCTAAGAACAACAACTATGTGGATGTGAGTATCTGTGTATGTATAAATAAACAAACTTTATAACAAACACTAAAAAAAAGTAAAAGAAATCAAATGACATATTACATTAAGCAAAAGTGCTGCAAAACATCTCTTTAGACAGTAAATCTTATTTGCTGAGGACTGGTGACTTGGCCGCTTAATATCTGGGAACAGACTGCAACCCCTAATTCCCAACGCTGCCCAAGCCCTGCACTCCCCATCCCTGCCACAGCACCGTGTCCAGGGACACCACCCCACCACCATCCCACAACCCCACACTTTTGGCACATCCTGGTGGCCTCGCTACAACCCTGCAGCCCCTGGCGACGCTCCACGGCCACTAGAGACTCCTTCACGGAACACAACAACAGCCAAGGACAGTACAATTCTGAGTCAGCACACAAAGGCACACCATGGAGACAGCCGTCACCTGAAGCCACCAATCAAGCTGCTGTGGGACTGATCTGCCACGAGAAAGGCTGGTAGGATCCTAATTGGGTTTTCTTGGGCAATGCCTACGAGTTCCCAAGGTTGAGCCCACTGGTGGGAATTTGGCTAAGCTCTCTCAGGGCATGCCAACTGCCCAGGAAAGAGCGGGCCAGTGATAATTTGGCAGAACTTTTGTGGACACTGCAGACCAGCCAGAGGCGAGTGGATTGGTGGAAATTTTACTTTGTCTTGTTGAGTGCCCTTGACCCAGGAGCCTTCCTGGGCAGGGGCCACAGTGGAAGGGCAACTGCGTGAGCACCACTGGACAGGGACCAGTGAATGAAAACCACTGGGTGGGAGATGGACAGCTGGAATTTGACT